TATCTTCAGGTTTTCTGTTAATATCAAATCACAAATATTTAATAGTTTCATTACACAGTCCTTGAATACACTTTTTAAAGGAATCTGTATGATTCTCTTGGATGACTGTTAGCTTCAACCCTCCTCCTAATTTCTAAGCCAAGGTTGTTTCCAGTTTTCCCCTCTCATAATGAGTTGAAATGTCCATCTTTATCATAAATCTTGGCCACATTTCTAATTCTTCTCTAAGACTCTGTTGCTGGAAATAGAAATTCTGAGTCAAACGATAGGAACTTTTGAAAGGCTCTTATGAAATTGCTGTCCAGAGAGGCTGTAGCAATTACTAGGGCTTTGTGGCCTGGTCGAGTCTCCTTCCCGGGGACTCAGCGCCAGCGAGGAGGAGGTGAGGGGCCCGCAGGCTGCAGTGTGCTTGCGGCCAGATGGCCCTCCTGGCAGGCCAGCACGTGGGAGCTGGACAGGAGACAGCTACACTGATCTTTTATTTATCCTTTGGCTTCTATGCTTCTATTATGGAGCAAACTGCAGCAGACCACAAAAATATAAAGAGTCTTTTATACCTTTTTTTTTAATGGGAAGTTGAGGGTTTTGTCGCAAGGGAGAACAGTAGGCTCTCTTCTGAGCGGGGAAGACTGTCTCTCCTCTCCTCTATTGAGTTTTGCTTCACTGTGCTTTAGTAATTTTTCCAAAATTGGCTACCAAAACCCATTTAATGTCTTATTTTTCAGTATCATAGAACTGTTAATCTAGAGTGGTACGTAGCAACCACTATTTATTAAATCCAAATTGAGAAAAACTATATAAAGCGGTCAGTACATTGCTAGTCATTTAATGCTCAATAAATGGTAGTTTACCTTAGTAATCGTATTAGTCTGCTTGATTCCAGAAATTTTACAAACACTGCCTCATGTAATCCTCACCTCGACCCATTTTGTAAAACAGAGGCTAAAGATGTGAGTAACCGGCCCGCGGTCACAGCGTGCAGGTGGCGGGAGGTGTGAATTTGGGCGAATCTCCTTCCAAATGTGTGTTCTTCCCACCAGACCTTAATTGCTGGTTCTGGAAGTCTCAGAAACTTGTAGAGAACCACTTGATGAGAAAATAACAAATATTAATAATGCGGATAATACCAGTCATCGTGTGGGAAATCTAAGTAGTAGAATGAATCCCAACACAAATAAATTGTCTAATGTAAGCTGTTCCATCTGCTCTGTCATCTGGTAGCATCATGGATGGGGAATGCCACTGGTGGTTTGAAAGCCATTGCTTCAGCTTCTTGTGTCCGTAAAGATCTCCCCTTTGTCTCCCTGTCTGTCCCTGCCTTTCCTCCCGCACCCCAGTGATCACATCGTCCTCCACCCGAGAGTACACGGTGACCGAGCCTGGGCGAGACGGGGCTGCTCCTTCACACACCTACACTTACCAGTGGCGCCAGACCATCACCTTCCAAGAGTGCGTCCACGACGACTCCCGGCCGGCCCTGCCCAGCACCCAGCAGCTCTCGGTGGACAGCGTGTTTGTCCTGTACAACCAGGAGGAGAGGATCTTGCGCTATGCTCTGAGCAACTCCATCGGGCCTGTGAGGGGTAAGGCGGGCGCAGCTCTCGCTGGGCATCGTACGTGTGCCTGCACGTGCTTCTGCACTCATCATTGAAAAGCGCTACTCTTTGATATATTGTTTTTCGTCTCTTACTCTCAGAGTCTCTAGGAGAATAAAATTATGCTGAGATATTTTGTGACAGAAAAAAAAAGTCTTGTCATCTGTGATTTTTGGAAGACCTGCCTGTCTCTGTTCTTTTAACCGAAGGCCTGTCCGTGATCCTACTGGGGTAGAGGGCAGGATGCTAACCTGGTGGACCTTGCAGAGTGCACCGTCCTAAGGCTACTGCTGGCTTTGGCAGGCTTTTTAAACACTCTACTGCTCAGCCTTGAAAGGAATTGTGTGCTTAGAGCCTGCGGGAATGAAATAAAATCAGGCACGGAGCCTAAAGCAGACTCTTATCCTGTGATTGGTACTCATGGCTGGGGCTGGGATCTGGTCTGTGCATGCTTCCGGCTGCGTGGAAGGAGCTGATGTTTAGGGAGCTTTCGTGATATCTCAGTGTCAGACTTCACGTTGTCCAAAGCTTGAAGCCCCAGGGTGCTGTATAATTGGGGTCTTTCCCTTTTTTCATTTGTTTTTGGCTCTTCCTCCATACCCAAGTCACTTCTCCAGCTGCTCAACTTGTCCTTACTGTAACTCTGTGAGGCAGAAGGAAGGTAGGTGTTCTGCCACCTTTGACAGCTGTGGCTGTAGGTATCAGGGGTCAGTACATTTTTCCTTGAAGGACAAAAGAGTAAATATTTTAGGCTTTGCTACCATACCATCTTTATCACAACATGTCAGTTTTGTCATGCTAGCACAACAGCAGCTATAGACCACATGTAGGCGAATGGATATGGATGGTTGCCAATAAAACTTTATTTACAAAAACAGGGAGAGGGCCAGAGGGACATAGTTTGCAGGTCCTGCCCCAGGGCGACATGGGACTGGCTGGTTTCTCTTTCCTCTCTCCTCTCCTGTGATTACCTTCTTGGTCACCAGTTGTGGTTTACTTGCTGTGGAAGGAGGAGACCTACAAGAGTTCCTGAAGACTCACGTGGTCCCCATGTCTCTGCCTTCACAGACGGCTCTCCCGATGCCCTTCAGAACCCCTGCTACATCGGCAATCATGGATGTGACAGCAACGCGGCCTGTCGCCCCGGTCCTGGGACACAGTTCACCTGCGAGTGCTCCATTGGCTTCCGAGGAGATGGGCGGGCCTGCTACGGTACAGCCTTCCATTCTGACTTTTGGGGGCTGGGGAAATCAGGCTAGGAGGATGCATCCAGCTTCTGTAAACCAGAGGGCTGGGTGCAGCGAGGAATCATGGGTGAGGTAAATACCGGTGGATGCGCCCTGCCTGCATCGTTTACAACATGCGCTCACTCTTCCCCTGGCTAAATGGAATTAGTTCAGCCCCTCCCCTTCATCTGACCTAGTCTGCCGACTCTGAGCAGCAGAGGAGAATTCCTAAGGCCTCACTCCACTCCATCTTCAGAGTGCACAGGTCTAAACGGAATCAAAAGTCAGAGCTGTTTATGATAACACTAGTAACATACCTATAGCTATGATTTACCTGGGCACTGTTTGCCTTAAGTGCTGCACAAACATTGTCTCATTTAATTCTCCAACAGCTCTAATGAGATGGATTCTGTCATTCCCATTTTTTAAAAAATTATATTTGATTGTGGTAAAATGCACATATAAAATTTACCATTTTAACAATTTTTAAGTGTACAGTTCAGTGGCAACAAATACATTCACATTGTTATGCAACCATCACCACTATCCATCTTCAGAACTCTTTTCATCTTGCAAAACAAAGTCTGTACCCATTAAACAGCTCTCCATTTCCCCCTCCCCCACCCCCTGGCCACCACTGTTCTGCTTTCTATCTCTACGAATTTGACTATTCCAGGGACTGCGTGTAAGTGGAGTCATACAGTATTTGTCCTCTTTGTGGCTGGCTTATTCACTTAGCATAAAGTCCTCAAGGCTCACCCATGTTGTAGCATGTCAGAATTTTCTTTCCTTTTTAAGGTTGAATAATATTTTATTGTATGCACATTCCACATTCTGTTTATCCATTCATTTTTGGACACATAGGTTGCTTCCACCTTTTGCCTATTGCAAATAATCCTTCTATAAACATGGATGTACAAATATCTGTTAAAATCCTTGCTTTTTTTGGGTATATACCCCAAAGTGGGATTGATTGCTGGATCTTCTGGTAATTTGAAGAACCACCATACTGTTTTCTACAGTGGCTGCACCATTTTACAATCTCACCTACAGTGCACAAGGGTTCCAATTTCTCCATATCCTTGACAACACTTGTTGTTTTCGGGTTTTTTTTTTATAGTGGCCATCCTAATGGGGGTGAGGTTCATTCCTCTTTTTGTAGATGAGAAAACAGGCTCATTAGAGTGATGTGTGACAACAGTATTTGATCTCTGACTCCAGCGTCTGTATTACTTTGTCTTCTTGTCGCAATTATTTTGTTATTTATAATTTAACTTCAAAGTACTTTGAAGTAGACAGCCTGATATTTATTTATAGGTTCGTTACTAAATTTTAATACTACCAAGGGACAGTTAGTCCACTCCAAGATCAAGAATATCAGGCACTTCAACCAGTGCTCCCTAAATCCTCAGTTAGTGAGAGGACTCGCTACTGAGCACACAGAATGCTAGAAGTCTGTTTCCCTGGTGGAATGAGCAGTGTAGTCACACAGCGTTGTCCAGAAAGATGGCAGCTCCCGCCACCCTTGCTGAGCGGGCCATAAGAATCTGGCAAGCCCAGCGGCCTCAGAATTTGGGAGTAATGCTTAGGTCTGGAATCCAGCACGCCCAGTGAATGGCGGATTTGGTGTGCTGATTTAATGCGCAGGGTAGCAGATCCTGCTGTCAGGGTGCTGTGGTGTTTGCTTGGAAGTGAAACTTTCTTGCAAGGTGCTCACTGGGATGCCCGAAACACTGGAGAGCAGGGACGTGTGCTTATAGAAACAGCTTGCGTGGTGGTTTGGCCAGCTTGCCGATGACTTTGTATATGTGGTCGAATTCAGCCTGAGACTCAGCTTCCTGGTAACATCCCACTGGGGAGGGGACATAGCGCCTACTCACCTGTAATTGTGCGTTTCCTAGTATTTCCCAAAAGAGCCCGACAGCCTTGGGCTGAATCGGCTCAGGCCAGGTGGAAGCAACGTGAGGCTGCGCGTGTAGGCGCAGACCCCTCCCAGGCTGTGCAGATGGACTCCGCTCGGGGGTGCGCTCCTTGACGTGCCGCACCTCCTTGGTGTTGATGCAGCCCCAGTTCAGCGCCACAAGCCACCTGAATAGTAATAAAGTGTAGAGACAGCCCAACCTGCTGCTGCTGAACCGCGACCTGCTGGCCGCTCCTGCTCCGGGCTCCCCATCTTGTCACCGTGGGAATGCTTCACTTCAGAAGGCACGACCAGCCACGCGTTATGTGATCTGTGCTATCCTAGCAAATCCTCGGATGCTCTGGTCCAGGAAGACAGGTGGTCTCCACAGACTTGCTTTTGTGCTGTGGTTGGCTGTTGTGCCGGCGTATTGCCTCTGCGGAATGTGGTGTGTTCCCAGTCAGGCCACTTATTGTTCTGGGTCACTAGGACATGCCTGGAAGTGATAATTCAGTGAGACATGAGGATTTTAGCAGGAAATTGCATTAAGCAGATTGCTTCATGTGTTATTTTGACCAGGGAAGTGCCACGGAGGAGGATGAGGATGAGGCTTTGTGATTCAGTGTGCGGAGCATTGATATGAGGATACATGACACCCGCGACAAGGCTGGTTTCTGGTTAGATGTCGCACAGCAAACCTCCGGGTTAATGTGGGGAAGATTTCCAGTGGAAGCACAGAGCTCTGTGGTTCACTCTGGTGCACGAGCGATAGTTTTGGCTAATCGCTCATGAGTGATTGTTGAGTACGTAGAAGGCATTTAACAAATCCATACTGAGACGCTGCTCAAGAGCCTGACCTTTATAAAAGGGAAAAATTGGAGAAACTTAGAGTCATTGAAAATATGTGAAAAGAAGCAACTCTGAAAAAAGTCCAAAAGGAAGCAGTAATTACAATAATCGAGGATTTTCCTATTGAGTTAGAAAGCGATTATGTGAAAGGAAATCTCTTTCCAGAGAAGAGATTGAGTAGATGTTGAATAATAAAATAATCATCTTCAAGCGGATATTGTGGTATGTTAGGAGAGAGTTATTACTATTGAATAGTTCATGGTTTCCACTAAAGAAAGGGTTAAGGTCTTGGCCTCAATTTACAGAAAAAAGGATTTAATTTACACATCGAGAAGAATTTCCAAACTGCGAGGACTGTGGAATATTAGCTGGGAAGTTGCAAGGGTCTTGTCTCTAGAGAAAGTGTTGTGCAGCCTGGCTTGTGTGCGCAGACCTGCGTGGAGGTGGAGGTGGTGCCAGGGGACCATCCCCTCCCACATCCCACCAGCCCCGAGATCCTATCGGTCACTGGTTCTCCAGGTAGGGCATGGGAGGAGAGCCTGATCACATGGGAGCTTTTTCAAAACACACAGATGCCCGTGCATAAATAAATGTTCCCAGGGAGGAACAGAGCTTGGAAAAGTTCCCCTGGTGATTTTGCTCTGTCTTCCTGATGGAAAACTGCTGCTCTGTGCTCTTGTGCTTTGGCAGTTGAGTCAAAGTCACTGAACCTGCAGTTTGTACAATGTGTCCAGCAGGGAGTGTCCTCTGAGAGTTGTGATACAGAGAGAGCAGACGCAGGAAGGATCTTTTTCCTTCCATGCTGTTGGAGCAGCAGCTGGTAGATGGAGCTGTGACATCTGCACTTGCTGAATCCCTCCCCCTAATCCCCACCATCCATGCCCACTCCCACCAGCTCCAGCTTCTGCAAGAGCCTGCTTTGGGAGGGGCTTTGTTCTGGAAGCTTTCAGCTGTGCCTGCTGCAGTCCTGTTGTCTGAGACCTCGCGTCTTAAACACTTCACAGAAACACGCAGTTCAGTACAGTCTCAAAAAGTTGCATACCGTTTGGCTTGGGTTTTGCCTGGGTAAAGGACAGATTACGGGGCTGGTGTGGCAAGAACATTTGTCTTGCGCAGTGCTGCCCAATAAGCCAGACTGGCTTTGTCCACCACGCGTGAAAGACCCGCATTAAAACAATGGGCAGGAGATGTGTGAGGGGGAAGGGAGCCGTGTGGTCTCAGCCATTATGAAATCGTCTCCACACACATCTCAGAGTTGTAGTAATGCCAGTGTACACTCCGGATGTGAGTTTGGCATGGGAAAGACCTCGTGTAACTGTTCATTTCAACCCACCAGTGGACAAGTAACCAGAGTGATGACAGGTTAGCTCAACTTCTTGTCGGGGCCAACCAGCCTTAACACTAGTGGTAGCCACAGACTGACCCCAGAACAAGTGGCCTTCTGAAGGACATATTCCCAGAATCAGCCAAATCTATCACCGGGTTGGGGGTGTCACGTGAATCCCCAATAATTACAATAACTGCTGCGTGTCTTGAGCATACTAGATGCTTCTTTGGCCCGTTTCCTGTAATTCTCGGAAGAACCCTCAGGATGAGTATTATTATGCTTATTTACCAATAAGGAAACTGAGGCTGGGTAGGTAGATAACTTGCAAGGAGATAGGAGTAGAACCTGGCCATGTCCAACCCCAGAGCGTGTGCTTTTTGCTCTAGTTGCCCCATGATGGTGGCTGTAGTATTATCATGTGAAAGGACGTCACCCTACTAGTTCATTTACAGACTTGTGAGTGAATGGCTTTCCTTTCAGTCCACTAAGCTTGAGATAATGTTCAAAAATCCACAATTAGGCTTTAATGAGTTCAGCTTTTTGTTATAACTATAATTGGAGAAAGGTAATATTTTTGAATGGTAGCATATTTAAATGAGCTCTAGAGTTTAGGAACCCTTTTCAGAGTCCAGACACTTGTCTCTGTGTCCTTCTGGTATACATTTGCCAATCTGATGTGAGTGACTCGTGTGCAGGGGCCGGGGTCTCAGCAACTAACTCCCAGAGAGGCCAGGGAAGCCCATTCACTTAGGAGAGAGGCCTGGGGCTCACTCTCTAAAGTTATGCACAGAAAAAAAATTGTATGTAACACTGCTTTTAGAAGGTAGAAAAATCTGTTTTAAAATTGATCCATTCTTCGGTGAAAATGCTTACTATTTCATTGTATTCAGTGATGTTCGAAGGGGTTTTTAAACGTCTGCATTTTTAAAAACTTGGCTGCAGATATCGACGAATGCTCAGAACAGCCCTCGGTGTGTGGGAGCCACGCAATCTGCAATAATCACCCAGGCACCTTCCGCTGTGAGTGCGTGGAGGGCTACCGGTTTTCGGACGAGGGAACGTGTGTAGGTAAGTTCTCCAGGTAACTTTTCAATATGGTGCATGTTAGCTCCGGGATAAAGGATATAGTCCCGGGTTGTGATCCCGGCCAAGGGGGAAGGTGCCAGGTTCTGGGTTTGGGAAGGCCAGTTTATAAAGATGAATCACACTTGGCCTCTGCCCTCTGACTCCCTGGAGAGTCACAAGCACTGATTGTCTACACTAGTCACTGTTACCTCACCTGTTGCAAGCTTTTGCATTGCATTTGCTTCCTTTCATTGTCGTTATACTTTGAGTAGCTATTAAAGATATTAGACTTGTTTCTCCTACTAATTAGTAGTCTTGCGATTCACATTGAGCAACTACCTTATAAGGCACTTTTATGTCATCTCCCGTCTTAGATTGAATTCCACCTGAGTTACATCTAAAATTCCATTCGGGGCCATTCCGTTTATGGATTCTAACTTCATGAACCACAAGTAGCAGCGTACGTTTCTAGCTTGATTGAAGGAAGTAAGTTGCTGCTGTGAATTAGGCTAATTATGCCCTTAGTCAGTGATGATTTTGGTGGTGATGCGCCAACCACAAACAGCCAGGTTGTTTAAATTTTCCTACTGCTGCACTTTGACCTGTTGGTTCCGAGAATTTTAAGCTCAAGATTCTTGAACAACCAAGGGCAGCATGTTTCCAGGTCGGGAGGGCAACGTCTCTTGCCAATTTAAAACAGATTCCTCTCGTACTGCATCAGCAAGCCATCTCCTTGCCCCTTCCTCGCTGTTCACTACACCCTAGAATGTTTTCTCTTTGCTCTGCCTCAAAGCTTGGGTGAGGCTGCTTAGGTCCCAGGGCGAAGTGGTGTCCTGAGGGTGGGAGGGAACAGGCCGTTCTCATATTTTGAGTGTGACCCAAACAGCTGTGAGCTCAGGGAGGCCAGTTCCCTTTGCACAGAGTTGAGATTTCAGCACTGCTAAAGTTACTTTTTATTTTTTTCTCTCAATAGAGAACATCAATTTCTGTGTGTTCGGCCTGACTTCCTTCTTTGCTTTTGAGGTTAAGGAGATTTTACTTTTAACAGCCACACCATTCAAATTACATTTTGGCTCCAGCTTGGGTAGTGGGTACTTTATCCCTTGGATGGTGGTGTGCACAGTCACTGAGATCCGTTTTGGGACACGTGTGTGTGAGGCATGGTGACCTAGGTATCTGGATCCAACCATTCCTGATGTCCACCCTCACTGGAGGAGCAAGGTGGGGTGCAAGACAAGGGCTGTGCTAATGTCTGCTCCCACACATTTGTTTTTGAGAAAGATTCCATTTATGGACAACTGGTAGCAACTTAAAATCTGGCAATCCTTTGGTCTTTGGTCCATAAGATTTGGTTTGATGGTACCTATCCCACACGAATTAGTTGACATTCTTGACTTCAGGAGTTCAAGCTGCTAAATGCACCAGCCAAGCCTCCATCCTCCAATTCTTTGCTAATTTCTCATTCGACACAGACCTTTGACGAATCTCTTCTTTTTCTTTACCTGTCCTCTGAGAGTGCGTAGAGATTTCTCTCTCTCTCTGTCTTTCTTCCTCACCCACCCCTCTCTTTTTCTGCACTTAAGGCAGGATAAACTGAAATTCATCTTGGAAAGACTCAGGGAGGAGAAAGATGAGTCCTCCTGCACCTGGGATAATCCAAACTCCGAGGGTGTCCTGGGAGGGAAAGAAGAGTTCTGTTCTAACATTGCAAGGGATGGGACTCTGTCCCAGGTCTTGGTGCTTTTAGAAAACCAGAAGCAAAGTGCTGCCTCAGGAGCCCGAGGATAACTGAACCAGCCATGGAAGACCATCCTGTCTACCCCAGGCCTTGCCTTCCATCTCGAGGCAGCAGCACAGGATGGGGTATTACCGGCTGGCCTCTGTGTGCCCCCCCTACTTCCTCAGCCCTCATTGCATGAGTTCTATCAGCAGGACCCTTTAGAAAATAATAGTCCCATATACTGGCCTCCCTTGTGCTTAGCAGCTAGAAGTAATTCCTGTTCTTCAGAAGAAGAACACAAAGCTCTAAGTTATACAATTTATCCGAGTTCATGTGATTGACTCGTGTAACTGGTATAAACCCATGGCTGCCTACCCCCAAGGCCCACACTCTTTTGACCATACCTCTCTCGCTGCCTTGGAAACGTTTATTTCTCCTTCCTTGATGGAAAGTGGGCGGCTTTGACTTGGGCATTTGTAGTGAACATTCTGCCTTCCTGGAGTGGACTAGGGCTAAAGACCCAGCTCCTTCGCTCCAGTGCTCCCCTGAGAGCTGCCATTAGAAGTGCGGCATCTGCAGATGTTCTGCCTCCAGATGCTGATAAAGGGAAAACTGGGATCTGAGGACTAGTTATGGGGACCTGGTAAGGAAAGTGGCCTGAGACAGAGCCCCAGGGTGAAACTAGGGTTGAAAGCCAGGCTAAATGACCGGCTGTGGTGCCAGTTGGCGAAAACCAGCCAGAGGCAGAACGCAGGTGGCGGGAAACGGGATGAAAGCAGTGGTACCAGCCCAGTGGGGAGCAGAGATGAAGCCTGAAGAGGTGTCTGGAGGTCTGGGGTCCAGGCATGGTCCCTCTTTATAGAGCCCCGCTGGATTAAACCCTTGGTGCCAGCGGAGCTTGGAAGGACACAAGGCCTGCTCAAGGGATGTTCTTGCAAACTCTGTGCACCAACCGTCTGTTCTGCAGCTGTGGTGGACCAGCGCCCCATCAACTACTGCACCACTGGCCTGCATGACTGCGACATCCCCCAGCGGGCCCAGTGTGTCTACACAGGAGGCTCCTCCTACACCTGCTCCTGTTTGCCGGGCTTCTCCGGGGATGGCCGAGCCTGCCAAGGTGCGTGGTCGCTCTGACTTTTCCCTTTGCGTTACCTGGAAAAGTTCCTCAGGTGGTACTTATTGTATGCTAATCACCCACCCACTCCTGAATATATTAAAGAACTATTCTCTCAGCTCCACTGGGTAAATGGGCTGCTTTTTATATCTCGCTAGGAGTTTGAACTATGCATTTTCTTTGGCAGGGGGGCTGTTCTCACTGGTGAAGACACTTGGCTCACCCCAACTATTTTGTTCTATGTGACTTACTCGTTCAGGCAACAATTAGACACCTTCTGTCTGCTAAGAACTGAGGATATTGTTTATCTTTCACAAAGAGACAGTCCTTGTATGCAGGGAGCTTAAAGTCCATCGTTTTATTTAGTAAGATATATATAGTCATTCAACTGACCTGCTGTAATCTTTTCCAAAAAAACAAAGTTCCCTTATTGAATAAATGTTTGTAGAGTCAGAGAACAAATGACCAGAATTCTTTCGGACTTGAGCTCAGCCCATTGTTGGCTGCCAGGGTGTTCTTAAGGGTAATTTTAGGTAAGGTAACCCATGAACAGTGTACCCTGCATCTCCTGGTTTGCAAAATTACTTAACATTATACCATCCAGTATTTCTGAAGAGTCCAAACTTCCTAAGATAGATAATAATCTACCTTCTCTTCATTACTGAACATGTGGATTTTTTCTTATCTCTAGGGTTTTTCTGTCAAGCAGTTAATAATCTGTCTCCAAACACTCAGACAATTTTGAAGCTCTCATTTATGACAGGAGGGATCATTTTATATTTTTTTTCCCTTTCGTAAGCTTGACAAAAACATTTTCCATGAAAACAGTACCGTCAAAGTGAAGCACATTTGCACGTGCAGCAGATAGAAATTGGGGAGTTAGTGTCTTGATAATTAATGTTTAGTGAGCTGTGAATCACTGTTCCCAGATCAAGTTCCCATAGATTTGAGCAAGAGGCTTAAATTATGATGTAAACTACAAGTTCCCAAAGAAATAATCTCATCGTCCCTGGGCCTGGTGGCTGTTTTGCAGATGTGGATGAATGCCAGACAAGCCGATGTCACCCCGACGCCTTCTGCTACAACACTCCTGGCTCCTTCACCTGCCAGTGCAAACCCGGTTACCAGGGAGATGGCTTCCGTTGCGTGCCTGGAGGTGAGGTGACGGCGCGTTTGGAGTTGGTAGCCCATCCTTGAATTCTGAGTACTTGGCCCTGGGAGAGAAGGTGACGTGGGGAGGTGGGAGGCTCCATGGACAGTTCTAAGGGTTGTCAAGGTGGAAGATCAGAGCATGGACTGCAGTGTAGAGCTGTGCAGGTTGTACACTGCACAACTCCGGGGGGCACCCCACACATAGACCATTACCGTGCTGGCAGCCTGGAATCTGGTCACCCCTGTGACTTGAGCAAGCAGTGCGGGATAAGAACTGGTATGTGTTTGTCAGGATTCTCCAGAGAAACAGAAACAAGAGGAGATATACATGCGCACACATACACACACACACACACACACACACACACACACACACACGGAGGAAGAGAGAGAGATTTATTATAAGGAATTGACTCATGTGCCAAGTCCCCAGATCTACAGATGGCAAGCGGGAGACCAAGGAAGCCCGTGGTTTAGTTCCAGCCCAAGTTCAGGCAGGAGAGCTGAGGGCCTAGTTGCAGCCTGAAGGCCAGCAGGCTCCAGACCCAGGAAGAGCCGATGTTTCAGTTCAGTTCAAGTCCAGTAGCAGGAAAAAAAAATGATGTTCCAGTTCGAAGGCCATCAGGCAGGAAGAAGTCTCTCTTTTACTTGGGGGAGGGTCTGGCTTTGTGTTCTATCCAAGCCTTCACCTGATTGGACATGGGCCACCCACACTGGGGGCAACCATCTGCTTTACTCAGTCTATTGATTTAAATGTTAATCGCATCAAAAATATCCTCATGGAACCACCCAGAATCATGTTTGAGCAAATATTTGAGCACCTTGTGGCCCAGTCAAGTTGACACATAAAATGACCCAGCACAGGTTTCTTGTTTTTTTTTTTTTTTTTTGAGACAGAATCTCACTTTTGTTGCCTGGGCTAGAGTGCCATGGCGTCAGCCTAGCTCACAGCAACCTCAAACTCCTGGGCTCAAGCGATCCTTCTGCCTCAGCCTCCCAAGTAGCTGGGACTACAGGCATGTGCCACCATGCCCGGCTAATTTTTCTATATATTTTTAATTAATTTCTTTCTATTTTTAGTAAAGACGGGGTCTTGCTCTTGCTCAGGCTGGTTTCGAACTCCTGAGCTCAAACAATCCGCCCCCCTTGACCTCCCAGAGTGCTAGGATTACAGGCGTGAGCCACCGCTCCCGGCCCCGGCACAGGTTTCTAAGAGTCGCAGGGAATGGAGTGGGGCTGGGGGTGGGAGGGCAGTGGTGAAAGGCCTGTCACACCTGACCTGAACCACACAGCTTCTAGAGCTGTTGCGGACCTGAAACTTGAGTGGTATCTCATTAGAGCCTAAGGATCATGGCAGGTCCACGCCAGTACCTGGAATGAGCCTGGGAACTTGGGAGGCACTTAACAAATGCTGCTGGATGCATGAGTATAATCGGCTGCCATTTGTGCAGAACCCACTGCGTGTTCGGTGCTTAACAAACACTATTCACTATTGCAGTGCTCATTATCGTCTTTTCAAGGTAAGTGCTATTACTGTCTCCATTTGCACAGAACGCTGAAACTGAAAAAGAGAAAGGCGCGGTCAGGGTTGCCCAGTTCTTCAACACTAGAACTGAGACGCAAATCCAGTCTACCCGATGGACTCCAAATCCGGCTTCGGTCTCATACACCACATGGTGTCCTGACATGAGATTTAGAATATATTTGACAGCTCAGACTGGAGTTAGCCAGTTGTGTTTTTTATTTTTAATTACTGCTGATGCTGTTGGTTAGATATATTCATGTTCTTACAGATGTTTTCAATAAGCAGTAAGTGGAAATTTATATCTCACCACACTTTAAGCAGTTAATAATTGCGTAAATGTCCGTCTCCTTCCCTCACCCGTGAGCACACTGAGGACCAGGTGCCACATGCACTTGACTTTTATGTCTCCAGTACCCAGTGGAGCACGTGTCCGTGGTGGGGCTCACAGCTGTCTGTAGTTGTTGAAAAGAATAAATGAATGTGCCAATTTCCATTCCTACCAGCAGCATTTGAAAGTATTTGTTTATCCACACTCTCACTACAACTGGTTTTTAGAATAGTCGTCAGTCTAAAAGGGGAAACTATCAGGTGAAAGTTTAAATTCCAATATATAATACTACATGTTGCTGATCTAAATTGTTTTCTTCTGCTTAGCACAGGGCTCAGCAAACGATGACCCGTGGGCCAAATCTGGCCCACTGTCTCTTTTTGTAAATAAAGTTTTATTGGAACACAGCCATGCTTGCCAGTTTATGTATAGTCTGTGGCTGCTTTTGTGCAGTAGAGGCAAAGTTCAGTAGTCATGACAGAGATTGGAAGGCCCACAAAGCCTAAAAACCCTAAATAGCCCACCATCTGGCTCTTGACAGAAAAAGTTTGCTGAGCCCTGGCTTAGATAAACCCAGGCAGGGAAACCATTTGTTCCTGAAGATATGGGTGAAGACTGCAACGCTGCCCATAAATCTTAATAGGCAGGTTCCGTAGAGGAGTTCGAGGAGTTCGTGATCACTTAAGACATCGCAGCTGTTATTGCAAATGACTAACATCCATGATTTCCTTGGGCTTGCTTCCCATCTCCAGTTCAAAGGGAAGCAGATGTTTCATTTTTTGTTTTTTGTTGTTTTAACCTGACTCTTTGCCCCTCTTTCAGGCTGTGTTGACTAAACAGAAACAAATCCAGACCCGTAGGCTGGGATATAAAGATGGGACAAGGATAAAACCAGTATGAGCTGTTTGCCAGGATTGTTTATGTATTTGATCCTGTTCCCTTAAGAAAATTAACATCTAGTTATATACCCAAGAGAGAATGTGCGCTAGAAATGTACAAGAATGTTCATTGTGTATTGTTTGTAGTAGAAAAAAATCCAAGTGACTGTAAACAGAAGAAATGGAGAAATGACTTGGTACAACTCTCACAATGACAGAACATAAAGCAGTTAAAATGAATGAACTAGAGTTAATGACTAAGTCTCAACAATATAATGTTTAGCAAAAATAATTATAAAAGGATAGATACAGTATGACCCCATGTATATAAAATGTAAACCTATATGAACATCAACCTACATGTGTATATACATACATAAGAAAACTATAGGTTGGGGCAGTGGCTCACACCTGTAATCCTAGCACTCTGGGAGGCCAAGGCGGGAGGATCACTTGAGCTCAGGAGTTTAAGATCAGCCTGAGCAAAAGCAAGACCCCATCTCTACTAAAAATAGAAAAAAATTAGCTGGTGGTTGGTGGCATGTACCTGTAGTCCCAGCTACGCGCAGGAGGCTGAGGCAGGAGGATCGCTTAAGCCCAGGAGTTGGAGGTTGCAGTGAGCTTCGATGATGCCACTGCACTCTATCCAGGGTGACAGAGCAAGACTCTGTCTCAAAAAAAACCAGAAAACAAACAAAAAAACAAACCAAAAACCTATAACATGCATGCATGGGAATGAGAAACAGAAGCTTCAGGATAGAGGTTACCCCTATGGTGGGAGGGAGGAAATTGGGATTGGGGAGGGGTACACAGGGTGTCGTGGTATGTTCAGGGCACTATAGCAGAATTCCATAGACTGGGTGGCTTATGAACAACAGACGTTCACTTCCTACAGTTCTGAAGGCTGGGAAGTGCAAGATCAAGGTGCTGTCAAACTCAGTGTCTGATGAGGGCCCATTTCCTGGTCACAGGTGGCCAGACATCTTTTTGCAATGTCCTCATGTGGTGGAGAGGGCAAGGGTCTCTCTGGGGGCTCTTTCATAAGGGCACTAATCCCATTCATGAGGGATCCACCTTCATGATCTAATCGCCTCCCAAAGGCCCCCACCTCCTAATGTCATCACCTTGGGGGTTAGAATTTCAATATATGAATTTGGGGGGCAGGGGACACAAACATTCACATCCTAGCACAAGGGCTACATTTGTATTTCTGACATTTTATTTTTGCAACCAGAATATGAATACAGTGGTTTTCATCACATTATTCTAAATTTCATATCACTAAAGTAGTTTATGAAACATTGCAGAGAGAAAAATAATGTGTAGTGTCATCTGAACTCCTGCTGCCAAACATCATGAAGGGCAGGATCAACCAGTCAGCACTTACTTGGCGCTTACTCTATACAGACGGGCCAGTTGCAAAAACAAAGCTTACTTGGCTTTGAAGGTGAGCCAGTCAAGGTCACGGCTACCACAGTGTCAACCGATAACAGACAAAATAGAAGAAATGAGGATTTGTTTCCCTCTGTCCTGCTCTCTTCCCCACAACCCATGTATGGATTGTGAATTCAGTTTAGTCAATCACTATTGTCATTTTTTAAAAAATGGAATGAATGAAATAGAAAACAATAATCTAGAAAATATTAGAGTTCATAGAGTATTATATAGTAGGCATAAGTATTGTTTCATGAAACAGTACTTGTATGTATGCTTATGCATGTGCACGGATATGTGCCTGTGTGTGCGTGTGTGTGTGTGTGTGTGTGTGTGTGTCTCAGGGTGCATGCGTGTACTGGGTTGCTGAGGAAATTGTATTTCTTTCTGTGGGTCATGGTCAGAAAGTTGAAAGCCACTATGTTAGTTCTCTGTTGTTACATAACAAATTACCCCATAGTTAGTTATTTAAGACAATAAAATCTATTATCTCATAGGTTTCTATAGGTCAAGAACTCAGGAGGAGCTTACCTGGGAGGTCCTGGTTCAGGGTCTCTCAAGAGGTTTTTGTCAAGACATGAGCTGGGGCTGTGAAACAAACGTGTGGTCCAAGGGGTGATGCTAAGGTGAGGCCCCCTAGTCTCTAACACCCAGGTCAAGACGTAGGACTTGAGCAGGACCCCGGAAGCCCCTCCAGGTGCTGTGTCCCAGTCACAGCCTCCTCCTGCTCCCCAAAAGCAGCCTCTAATCTGACTTTTGTAATAATCCCTTTCTTGCATTTCTTTATAGTTTTATCACACTTGTGTGTGTTCCTAGACACTGTAGGTTTAGTGCGGCTC